GTCCCACACCCGCGACCACCCCGTGGCCTCGTGGCGGCGGGGGCCTCCCAGCTGGCCCCGGCCTCCGGGCGCCGTCCTGCCCACGGGAGCAGGCCCCTCCCCGGGCGCCGGGCCCCGCCAGGCTCGCCCAGCCCGACGCGCCCCCTGCGTCCCGGTGGCAGGTCCGCACGGGGAAGGCGGGGGAGGGGGACCCCGGCCCGCGCTGGGGGGCACCGCGGTGGCTACCTCGCGATCGCGGCCGCCGCCTCCAGGAAGCCACGGGGTGGTCGCGGGTGTGGGAACTCTCCGGTCTGGCCTCGCCGCCCGCCGCCTGAAGGGGGTGCGCAGCGGTGGGAGCCGCCGTCGCCGCTGTCACCGAGCCTCTATAGCCGCCGCTGCCGGTCGTGCGTGAGTGTGTGTGTGCGCCTGTGTCCGGACGAGTGTGTGTCTGCGTGCGGCGCCCGGCCTTTACTATATACACCAAGGGGTGGGAGGAGGCGGGGAAGGGGAGGGCTTGGGGGAGGTGGCGGAGGAGGGGGAGCAGGAGGGGGGCGAGAGGGTACCCGACGAGGAGGCGGCGGCGAAGGAGGGACAGGTGATCTCGCCCACGGGGAGGGCGTGGCTGTGGGCGGCGCAGGGTGGCAGGAGGAAGGGTCGCCCGAGGCGCGGGCCAGGGGAGGGGGAGGTGGACACCGTGGAGGGCCGGCAGAGCGGGGATCCTGCTGCCAACTGGCGGGCTGGGGACCATTCCAGACCCCACGATGAAGAGGAGCCAGAACGGAGCCCAGAAGAGAGGAAGTGGGCTGATGGAGGCGGGAGAGGTGGGGAGGACCCAGGGACCATCCCCTAGAATGCCAGGGTGACACACGTAGAGGATCCTTCTCACAAGGTGTGAGATTGTGAAAGACGAAATGAGCCCACGGACACAATCTAATTTCCACAAACTTGCCTGAGAGATGATTTATTTATTAATCTAACATTTCTTGAACACCTGGTGTTTGCCAGACACCGGGGCTGAGACCTGGAGTTAGAGACTATCGACTATCCGACTGCTAAACAGTAAATAAGTAATAGATGCTAGTAGTACTATTGATGATTTAAAAACAAAATAAAAAACCTAAATCCTGTAAATGTTTTAAGAGAGCAAAGGAAGCAACTACACTGCTTTAATTAATCCCTAAAGATGTAAAGATTTTTTTCTGGAAATCAAAACAGGATGAAGATATTTGAGAGAGAATGGCAGAACTTCAGTTACTTTAATCAGAGAAGAGAGCGTCTGAATCTAGCTATCCTTTGCACATTCAATCCTCCACCCCAACACTGTGACTCGTAACCACAACTTCCCTCTTGCAGAATTTGAGGTGGCCACACAGAGTGTGAAAGACAGAGAGAGCAGCCTGGCAAGTTTACAATTAGCAAGGGAACCTGAACTTGTGTTGGAGAGGTTCTATTCTAACCTTGTAGTGTTGCAAGCATAATGTAATAGAAACCAGGGCCACATAATGCCATATTATTCTGAGGGTACTTTTGCCTTTACTGGATTCCCTCCTCCATTAAAAACAAAAACAAAAACAAAAACAAAAACACAAAAACCTAACAGTTCTATTTTACAATTGCTTTGGTAAAAAGACAAATATATTGATATTATATATTAATACATTTTCTTCAACCTAGAAGATCAATTTTTCTTCTGATTTCAAAAGAAATGAAAACATTTCTGTGGGCTCCTAAAAGTACTGTGGGCCCCAGGCTCTGTGCCCACTGCTGGTAACAAAGAATTAGGCCCTGTTGGTACCATTCCTTAATAATGAATTCCCTCTTTTGAAAAAAAAAAAGTTAAATTAAAAAATACTGAGTTGACACAGACACAGAAAGACACACAATACAACTTTAAGAACTGATAATAATGAATCGGGGCACCTGGGTGGCTCAATCGGTTGAGTGTCTGACTTCAGCTCAGGTGATGATCTCCTGGTTCAGGAGTTCAAGCCCCACAGTGGGCTTGCTGCTGTCAGCCTGTCAGGACAGAGCCTGCTTTGGATCCTCTGTCCCTCTCTCTCTGCCCCTCCCCTGCTTGTACTCTCCCCAAAATAAAAAATATATATGTTTTAAAAAAGAACTGATAATAATGAACATCAACGGAAAGTACCAGTTCCTACTTGTTTCAGTCAGGCTCTTGGGGCCTTAAATCAACTTGAAGTCATTAATGATACCTGTGGAAATATCTGTCCGTGAATGTGTCTTCAACCATTTTAGTAACCAAAGACTTCCTCTAGAGATCTCAGAACTGTTCTGAATCCTTGGATCAGGTATGTGAGGTCTCTGTTGCCAGGACCTAGCCTGAATACAACTAAAGACACAGCTGGGCAATTATAATTGGGCAAGTTCATGGATGAAAGATCCATAAAGGTTTTGTGTGTGCTGAGGGGGTACGTGTGTATAAGGTACGGATTGATATCCTGGCAGGCAATTACTAGCCTATTTCTTTTGTTGGCCTCATCACAACCCTGGGTTAATGTTTGATCCTCACTGGCAGTTGCGATTCATATTTGCTGCCCTTTGAGGTGCTTATGTTTTCAGGAGAGACTATATGGATCCAGATTAATGCATACTAAACAGGCATTATGGTCCCAAAGAAGTGTACAGTGGCACCCTCTGTATTTCCATCGTGAGTGCCCTTGCAGCGAGAAGGGAAAAAGAGAAGTCCATAATTACAGAGCAGGTCTGCGTGGGGGAAGAGATGTCTGGGGACAGAAACGGGACATAAATGTGGAAGAACTGTATTCATACAGTTAAAGGATGCCCCAGAAAATGGAGAGAAGAAAGGATGTGCCCAAACAGCAGGAAAGAACCACAAAAACCTTCCAGAGCTGCTCACGGTGATTTTTGAGATCTGTAATTTTAATATTGTTGCTTTTAAGTAAGGACTCAACAAATTTCGCATCTCAGACCTGATTGTTTTATCTATACCTTGCTTCTCTAATATAGCATCTCCTCATAATCTGGTGTTCACAAACTTGCCAGATGTAGGATTCATTTACTTATCCAATAAACACCTATTAAGCACCTGCTGTATGCCAGTCACTGAGCTAAGGACTGTGGTTAGAGAGAAGGTTAACATATGGTTGCTGACCTCAAGGAGCTCAGAGGCCAGTAAATGAACTGTTAATGATACAGTGTAACACTATGTGGTGCATGAGGAGTTATCCCATTGACTAGGTTGACCCTGAAGGAGCGGGGCCAGACCCGTGCTGGGAAAGGGTAGGGAATGGCATGGAGCAGGGCAGTCAGAAAAGCCTGCACAGAGATGGCGTCAAGGGCTGAGCACTGAGAAATAAATAGGAGTTTTTCGAAGTGAGGGAAATACATTACAAATGAAAGGAACAGCAAGCACCAAAACTTGAATGCAAAGCACATTCTGGACACTGCAGATATTCGGTGAGACTGGAGTAGAGGCTGTGAAGAATAGCAGGGGTGGGGGTGGAGGAGGCTAGGGGCAGCTGAGGCCCGTGGTCTGTCCTATAAAGGACCTTTTTCTTGGAGTCCATGGGGAACCAATGAAGACTTTATGCAAGGGGATGACCAAGAAAGATGTGGGTTGAGGAATGCTCACTGTGTTGGCGGGTGTGAAGGGCCAGCCGGAGGGAGTGAGGTTGGCAGCAAGGAGACCAGGTGAGAGATGCTTTGGCAACGATCAGGGTTTGAATCAAGGTAGTACGAGCAGAGATGAAGAGCAAGATGCAGAACTGGCAGGACTTGGTGATGGAGGAGACAGGAGTTAGGGCAACTGGTGCCTGGCTTTCTGAACTGGGTGACAGGGTGGGCTGGGGGTGTCATCACTGAGACAGAAGTCCTAGAAAGAGACGCAGGTTTGGGACTGGAGATGGCGAATGCTGTATGTTCCCCCAGAAGCAGATCCTGAGACAAGGATTCAAGTGCAGAAAGTTGATTTGGAGGGTGAAGGAAACACGGGTAGGGGTGTGGGAGAGGCAGTCAGAGGGATGGCAGCCAATGGGGGTATGTTAATAAGGCCAGTTACCACTGTGGAGCTTAAGTCCGTGGGTAAACTCCTGGATATGGTACAAAACCTCCACTTGAGGACAAAGAGGTGAGGAAGCTGGTTGAGGGCTGCCCAGGGAGTGCTGATTTTCTGGTAATCCTGGTCTGGCACCCAGCATAGGCAGAGAGTCCTTCTCAGGTGCAGAGAGAAGACACTGGCAGCTGGCCATCTGTGGAGCACACTGAGATGGTAGCCTCTAGGGGATGTGGGTGGGGCACCATTAGCATCTGCTCCAGGGAGTTCTGGTACGGGCATCTTGAGTGGGAAGTGCCTGTTCGGTAGCCACATAGAGAAGTCCAATAGGCATGTGCAGGAGAAGTTAAAAATCTAAGCTGAAGACCTAAATTTGGGAGTGGTTGTGTCCTTGGTGTTGGTTGAGCCAGTGGGTACTGAGCTCTGCCGAAGACATTATGTGACTTGAGTTGGTGGCTGAGTCCATCACCCTGTGGTATGCTCACATGATTTGACCTGATCTGCATGAACATCCTGGTGGGTTTCTCTAGGGGTGCCAGGAACTCCTTAAGTTCTACAAGCCAGGTTAGCGCTCATGGGTGT